GTAAAAAAACGAATAAAAAAAAAACCAAAACCCCTCCCTCGCCCCACATAACATACACATATTCTGGTGTACGCCATGCACATGCGCTGCAGTGCAATTTTAAAACGCATCGCAGTGCATGATTTGTTTCATTTCTTTTTTTTCTTAAAAAAAAACCCATTAAATTAACTGTGGCAGCGCATCGAAAAGCTATGTGACACATTGTCGTGCGTTGTGATATCTGGTGCTGCAATTGAATATACGCCTGTATCATTTTATCACAACACCAACACTGTGTAAAAACTATTTTTAACATAAGTCGCTTTTTTACAGTTTTGCGTACATTCATTTTTTTACCTTTTCGCAAAAAGGCGCAATTTCAAATGTGCAAATATTTGTTATTTATTAACTCAATACAGTTTTATCTTTTAGATTTAGTCAGAAAATATTTATTTTTGTGCACGGATACTGATTTTAGTATGTTTTATCAATTGAATTGTGTATTTTTATCGGTTTAATATTAACTTGAGAAACATTTGCGCAATTATAGCAGGGCCTACAAATTTAGTATCACCATCTTTTTATTCTACCGGGCCTGCACTTTCAGAAAATATATGGTTTGGGGGGTCTTTTACAAACACTAGCAACGCAGCAGTTGAAAATAAAATCAATTGGAAAAATTGCGAAAATGGCTTGGCAAGCTGAATTGAAAAATGTTCCGGAGGGCTTGGCAGGGAAAGGGTTAATAGGAGAACTATGGGGTAAGTGTTTTTCCCCTTAGTTCTCCTCAGTGTCACGGGAGGACATAAACTAGCATCCTCCCGTGACCCAAAGCTCAGTATATGGCGAGCTACAGTGCGCGGTATACTGAGACCACCGCAGCCGGGGAGGATCCCGACATTACTGTGGAGATCCACCCAGCTGCGTGATTGACAGCTGGCTCTGCCTATCTAGAGGCAGAGCCAGCTGTACCCGCCCCTCCCCCGTTCGTTCCTCCCGTCAGCTGGAACTATGAGGTTGAGTGAAAATCATTCACCTCATAGTTCTCCTTTAATATGGACAGCTGGGATGAAGCCATACACAGGAAGATCTCTCAGCAAGAACGTTTGGGCATTGCTTTTCTTTCCATATGCTGCTGCAACATTTATCCCCACAATGACAAATGTTCTACTAATACATATATATCATACAGTCTGTAATGCCTCATTCCCTTATCACTCCCAGGAAATCTCTGTCCAATAAAAAACACTTTCAACATTTGCAAATGTTCTTACTAATACCAATTCATAGCATTTATAACATGAATAACAATGCTGGTGGTGATACTGCACAGGGTGCATTTTTGTCTACTAAAAAGGTATTATGTACACTTACTTGGTTTGGCACAAACAACCTTTTCAGATGCATGTACAGAAGAAAATCGAGACTGATTTCCCTGCTCCTCACTTTCCCCATATTCAATAACCTCTACATTACCGAGAGGCACACTCCATTTCAATAAGTATTTCTGACTTTCTGTTACAATGTTGCTGCCTTCATTAGAAGATCTAGGACAAACAAAAATGTGGATTTAATAAGAAATTGTCACACTGGATAGAAATTCTTTGCATGTGGTAAATCACAGTTCATTAAACACAGCCAGCATTTAGTGCTGTTTTAGAGGAACCCTCAACAGAATTTACAAGCTTTTCTAAGATTAACGTGTTTTAATAACCGTGAAGTAGATTTATGTAAAATGTCAAAATATTAATAAGATATTTAAAGTAATGATGTATTAGAGCCAGAGATATTCAAGCAGATGGACACTGATTGCAAAGCTATGGGTGTGAGACACACACACAACAATTAAAAGGTCTTTTTTTTAGGTTTTCTTTTTTTTGCTCTGGCCCCCTGCCATAATGCTCACCCAGGTGAGGATGAGGTGTCCCCGATCCTGCAGCCTCCTAGGATAGCCCTATAATATATCCCAGAAGACTGCAGAAGCAGTGACACACAACAGCCACCGAGCAGACCTGATGCTCATCATCGGGGGGCTGGCTGCCTGCCTCGGCTTCCGAGGACCAAGATGAATCATGGGGTTCTTCTTCCCACAGCATCCAGGCATCTTCTGAATATGGCCCAGCACACAGACGCAATCCATTCGCACATCCTTTGACAGGATCTGTGAATGGAGAGGCTAGCACCACGGCAGAGGGACTTGTAGTTCTTAATGGAATACAAGTGCAGCGATGTCACCGCAGTTGTACTTCACTCATACTTCCTCCAAGCCCTGTGACTGAAAGTCCATACCTCCGTACGGACAGGGACTGGGAAGAAGAGCCTGCAGGAGACTGATCATTGCACCCGTGAGCCACAGATCACGATTGCAATGCTATACAGGCTCCATTTTAAAAGCATAATGCACACTTTTTCTTTTATAAAAGTGTGTGCATTTACTGTAAAAGGTGAACTGTGCCTTTAAAGCTGGTATTTTTATAGCATACAATATGGCACTGAGTCCCCCAGATCCCCATCAGAGACATACCAATACACACTGATGGGATACCTGGATACTTAGCACATTTCATAAGCTCAATGGATTACTATCCTCATGAAACACCAGCCTGCCAGAAATCAGCCCCAGTCCCACTGACCGGAGCAATGGAAGGAGAATACTGTAACAAGAATTTACAGGGCTTTGAATCAAACAGTGCTGAGCCACTTGGTGGTGTTTTTCTTTAAGTCCATTTTATTTTTATCCATATAAAATTAGCTATGCTATGTGTGTGTTATGGAAAAAGGGAAAAACTCGTCTCCCTATGATCTAATTGCCAGCTGTTATTTATTGTCCTTTTAGCCCAACTTACTCTGACTTTTCATAACCATGTAAGTCCATGTGTGGAAAGCCTCATTGTTCGGTTCCTGATGTGTACACAAAAGAGAAAATGTGAAGCAGATATTTTTTTTTGGGGACTGTCATTATTTCATGACAGAGGAAGGCAGCCTTCACTTAGGTAACATTCATCTCTCAGCAGATCACTGATCAGGCAGATGCTTCTCTTCTGCCATCTGCTGACCACTTATATTTCAGCTTTCAATTTATTCTAACAGCTAACAATGCTTAGGGAGAAAAAGTACAGCAGATGTTCTCAAGCGCTATACATGTATAAAGCACCTAATTTTATTGCCATCGATATTTCAAAAGGTGTAAATATGGAGTCAGCGATGCCGTGATAAGACGGCGGCTATGAAACAGAACGCATATCACACTTTCTTGCAGCATAAAAGGGCATATTTTTCCTGTGTTTGCTGCTCCTACCTGTTACTAGTAGTGGTACACATCAGCACATCATTCAGCATGAATAGACGCCTCTGCTTCATTTTCAGGATTTCACCTTTCTCGTTGTACACGGTTTCTACCATATCATCTGTTCGAATTAGATATCTATTTCCATTGCTGAGGAGCTAAATTTTGGGGGGGGGAAAAAAATCACATTTTTTAAGATTATTATGGGGAAATAAATGTTTGGAAGTTAAAATGAAATGCTGAAAGCATAAATACTTACCGTATTTTGCGCTCCATAAGGCGCACCGGTACATAGGACACAGGCAGTTTCTATCACAGTTTCTGTGACAGAAGCTGTGACAGAAGCTGCAGTAAGTGACAGCTGAGACAGGTGGCGCTGTGATTACAGCGCCACTGATGTTCTTCGTCTGCTCTAGGAGCTCTCTGGTGAGCTCCTATCCGGCTCGGTTTTAATACAAGTGATCTGAATAGATCACTTGTATTAAACGAGCAGCGGCTTCCACTGTACTTTTAGCTCTAAACAGGAAGTAAATGGACAAGCTGTATCACTTTCAATTAGGTATAATGGAGCCATACTGTGTGTGGTACACTATGTGGCCAAAAGTTTGTGAAAACCTGACCATCACACATCACTATGTGAGCGTGTTGGGCATCCCATTTAAACACCATGGGCAGTAAATGGAAATGCCAACCCTCTGCAGCGATAACAGCCTTCACTCTTCTGGTTAGGTTTTCTACAAGATGTTGCCTTGTGTTTGTAAGATATTGGTTCCATTCAGCCAAAAGAGCTAATGTTGGAGACCTGGCTCATAATCAACGTTATAATTAGTTCCAAAGGGTTTCAGTAGCATTTAGATCAGGGGTTTATGCTGGCAAGTCAAGTTTCATCAAACTATGTCTTTATGGAGCTGGCTTTGTGCATAGTGACACAGTCATTCTGGAACAAAAAAGGGTCTTCATCAAACTGACGCCACAAAGTTGGAAGAGCACAATTGGCTAAAATGCCCTTTTACACTGTAGATTTAACAATACCCTTCACTAAAACACCTGAATTCAATTTGGTGGCGTCTTCTGGCCACATAGGTAGGTGTGATTGCCAGGGGTCCACATATTTCTGGCCATATAGTGTATATCAAATGTATTTGTTTTTAAAGGGATAAATACAATGGATCAGGTTAAGATTTTGACTTCAATATTTCTATTAAATTTGGAATTCTAAAAGTGTGGCAGATTAAAAGAAAATCTGCCACAGATTTTCTTTTAACTGAAAATTATGACTAAAAAAAAAATCAGTGTAAGGCTAAGAAGCATGTGGTCAGTTATTTATTTAAGAAAAAAGCTTAGCTTACTAACCTTATTCAGATACCTTTCATTTATTGCTTTGGCAATCTGTTTGATTTCACAGCGCTGATCTGCATCCCGCTTCCTCTCGTTGAGTTTGTCTGCTAATGTTTCCAGCTCTGTAAGAGCCATCTGTAGAGGAAGCCGGTCAGGGTGACCCTTTACTGTATTTTTCAACATATCCTGCAGAGCAGAGCCAAGACCACAGGAAAGCAATAAATACATACATCATAAAATAGCACAAAGTAAAGCAATATTTACACACAGTATGGAATTGTATTCCTAAATGTACAGAAAACATCATACAAGAATAGATTTGGCATGTTGATGCTGTTTAAACATGTTAACACACCATCCATTCCTTGCATGCAACAATTATTATATTAGTCACTCACAAAGAAAGATGACATTTACATTGCTACTCTAGGAGTTTTACTATTTTGTAAATGTTTAGTTTATACAAATCTCTTTGTGAATTATTGTTACTCTTTGAAATTGTTAAATGCATGTTACACTTGATACATGAGGGGACAGGGCCATTGTAGGTAATGGCACTGGAACCTTAAAAAAGTGTTATTGTCTGTAATGGCCAGAACCAGTGAGTGAGCAGTTTCATTGAAAGTATTAAACATATCCTTCATCACAAGTCCTTATGAAGTTAAAAATAGCCATTTATTGAGCAGCAATACAGATTTACTGTGAAAGATAACATTTTGATCATTTGTTTCAATTATAACATCAAAAAAGTCATATCCTGCTAGTCAAGGGTCTGTTATACAGATTTCCTGAGGATTGGATAAATCTATAAGTAAAGTAAAACAATGCAGTGAATCCGTACTTTACCATATATCCCTTTTAGTCATGTACATTGACGTACTTCTTATACAGTTTTACTGAAGCATACTAGAATGTACATATTCTAACATGTCTACAAAAGAACAAGATCATTCACCTGTAGCAAGAGGATGAACTGGGGAAAGCGCTGGATTGCCTTCATCATCAAACCGTACAGGGTAATGCGGTCAGGGCTGGAATCCTGGTTCTGTGACAACACAAGGGCACATGCTGATCAATTGGAGTAACAGAACAGAAGATGTAACAGGATATTGGACTAATGCTGTAAACACATAACACATAAGTAGCATGCATGGTCTCCCACAGGCAGACCCAAACTAGGAACCTGACACAATGATATTTGGCAGACTGCAGTGTTAGTGGGCTGTCCTGAGCTTTGGTATAGACTCTTTTTTTTTTTTTTTTAATAAATTCTTTATTTTTCAATGTTTATAGCTTACACCGTACATAAAGGACAGTGCAGGAAAAAGGGAGGGGTATACATAATACAATCTTTGCAATTATAAACCAACACGGTCATTTCAAAACTGTGAAAAACACAATCAACTAATTGTTTAGCCATACAGGCATCAAAAAAAAAGAAAGGAGGGGGCAACTTTCTGGCTCGTGTGGTGAGACCGAAGATAGGTAGTCAGGTGTTTTTTGGTATAGACTCTTTACCTATCCACCTTTAAATGTGATACTGTATAAGACTCACCCAACTATCTCCGTAGCATCCTCCATGTATTCTGCACTTAGCTCTTAAAACCGGCAGTTTAGAAGTTATTTTACTCCAAATGTCCATGGAAAAAAAGTCTCTGGTTGAAGAACCATTTAGGTTGCCATATTACACAGAATAAAATACATAATTGGACTGCTATGGGCAATTCTTCCTTCAGACGCATCGAATTACAAGGCTCTATGCAGACTGTTGACCTATTTGCATTGATGCCATTGACAAGCATATAGAGGGATCTAGTGAGCTCTGCATGTGTACATGTAGGAAAGGGTTACAGAGCTACATTAATCTCACAGGGTTATAGGACTACAATGGTTCTAGCTCAGCAACAATTGGTTTGTGAAGCTCAGGCACACGGGTAAACCCTTTTTTTAATCAATGATTCATATTTAAAACACAGTGAAGCACTATTAAGCTGTAATAAACAAACTTAAAAAGAACAACAGTTTATTTTTTTATCCTATAGAAGAGCACCAAGCATGCTTTTTCTTGACAGTCATTACAAAATACTGCACTAACTATTTGTATTTACCCTTAACATACAATAAAACTGATTTTTATACAATGCTGAATGAATCCCCATTAAAAAGACAGAAAGCAAGACTTAGTATCCCAGGCAATTACCAGTAACCATAAAATTGCAAGAGAACAGATGTAACCTCGCTGTAAAGACAAATTTGAAGATGTACATTTCATTTCAGAATTGAGAAGCCAAAGAACTGTTCTACTTTTAGATGCTCATGTTTAATGTTCAGGCATGAAAAGCACAATCTGTTCAAATGTACAATTATACCATTTGTACAGTAAGAAATCTATGGGGCCCAATTTCTTGTTAAAATACAGCTTTATTCTTCCAAGTAAGCTGCCAAAAGCTTGAAGTCCTTAGATTACCTATAGGCACGAATGCTGAAATTGATCTGAAAAGCCAGATCAATTATCTAGCTTTGATCATCAGCATATGCAGCAAGCACATATCATTGCTTTTAATATTCTATCGGACTTCCTTAACGCTGACCTCCTCCTGCAAAACTGGGAGGAAGATCTCCACTTTACATTGCCCAAGGGCAAAGGGACTATATGAGCAGAGGGTACACCTAAACTGGAATTACCAGCACAATAATTCATTTTTTTAATTCATAGGATATAGTGAAGTGGTTTTATATGGGGCTTTCAGTTGCAGTCTAGACAGTAGGGACATTATTTTTTAAGTTAGTACAATATCTTGTGGTTTGCAATTGGATTGCCAGCCTCACCTACAATCTACTTCTCACCTCTGAGAACAGAAGACTAGCTAACCTTTCTATTTGAATTATTGTGGATGATAAGTGAAGAGTAAAAGTAAATGCCTGGGACATCTCATGTCTCCCTATGTCCCTTGTGGATCTACCTCCAGTTCCATGATGCATGGGAGTGATTGCTTGAAGCAGGCACATTACTGCTTTTATACATTAGTCTCCATGTTTCTCTAAGATGTCCATAAAAAGCATTAAGCACCCAAAATGGATTTAAACCCTCTGACTTACAAATGTTTGAAATATATGTAATATCCATGTATGGCACCTTAACAGTCATATAAGCTCACATGGGATGTTGGTACCCAACCCCCCCCCCCCCCCCCCCCCCCCCACACCAACCGCCGCCCCCA